AAAGGATATATGTTTATATCATAAAACAAAAATATTCCTCTCTAAGAAACTTTACACAATAGATTAAAACACAATCGTCTCTCTTTGTTGTGCTTGGGGAGAAATTATTAGATAAGGAATTTTAAAAATTCTAGAGCCTCGGTTACCGTAACCAATCTTTTTGTACTGTGTCCACTCTCAATCAGTCACCTTTCTAAATGACAAAAAGAGCATTCATAAGACATACCTTCTTTTCCTGTATAACGAAAATATGCTATTTACCAACATGAAGACTTCTGAGTTATTGTATAATTTGGAGATATAAGCACTAAGATTATTTATACATCATTCTACCCTTGTTACAAATATCTTCACAGAAATGTAAAGACTTGAAATTGGTGGGAAACCCTGCAACTCCTGTGATAGAAAATAGGTGTTATGGCGCACCCGAGGCATGAAAGTCTGTGATTTAAATGCAAACTGGTGAGAAGTGAAGGCCCTGATGGCCTGCATCTCAGCATTTCCAAGAGTTGTGACCTGCATGCATTGCTTGCTTCAGCATCTTTAAGACTGCTGGGTGAAGTTATATGTTATTGCAAATTAATACTAAAGAGAGATGGAAACCATTCCAATATATTTGAAGTCTGTTCAGTAAAGGCTTTTGAATTTAAGAACAAAAACAGAAGTTGCTGGAAAAGCTCAGCAGGTCTGGCAGCATTTGTGAAGAAAAAAATCAGAGTTAACATTTTGGGTCTGGTGAGGAAGGGTCAAAACGTTAACTCTGAGCTTTTCCAGCAACTTCTGTTTTTGTTCCTGATTTACAGCATCCGCAGTTCTTTCGGCTTTTGAATTTAACTTTTTTCCAGTTTTTATGATCACACTGTTGATCCATTCGGGGTAGGATTAGATAGATGGCCTGGTATGATAATTCTATCATATTTAGATGGGCCATCTGTCATAAGAAGAACGGAATCGGCTGCAATTACATTATGGACTGGGTTTTTGTGGCCTGCCACAAACTCCCTCCACCTTGTTCACCCCAGCCACTCCCGACTCTCACCCAAGCCTGCCAATCTGGCTACGGCAATGTTCCACTATAAAACATCTGTAGACAGCTCATGGACAACATTTGAATTTTCCTAGCCATTTAGAGGGAGTCTGCGAGGTGGGAGGCCTGGCAACTCATGTATGTGTCTGGAAAGTTGATGGCCATTTGATTATTTGGTGGTTCTCAGAGGTTGCACATCATTCCCATAGTTTGAATTTTAATCTGGAGCTGGTGTCACTGCTGCCTGAAATAGAAATCCAGGATGAGCCTCCTTCTTCTTGTCTTGCTCACCGCAAGCCATTTAATGGCCATTTGGCTTGATCTGGGACTTCTTTACCATCTAGGGAGGACAGTCTACCTTCGAAAGCTGTCAACTTAATTAAATGGTTGACAATTTGTTGCTCTCAGCAGTGCCACTGGAGGCAGTGGCCACTACTGGTACTGCAGAAAATCCAGAAGCACACTCGTTGATGGGGCAAGTGTAAATTAAGTGGTGGCTATTTTGCCAGGCCCAGGCTGGCAGGGCCCAACAAAGTGGGAGAGAGGGGTTTACAGATAGGAGAAGATACAAGGGCAGATGTAGGAATGAGAAAACCCTCATAGGCACAAAGGTCCTGCAGAGAAGATACCCATCCTTTGCCTAGCCATCAACTTCAGTAATGAAAGCGGGACCTGTCCTGCCATGGGTTAGATCCCAGCACCTTAGAGGTGGTCAGTAAGTGGTCATTAATTGTTCATTTAAGGGTCCTAATTGCCTCATGGGCAGGGAGACCTCCCAAGCACCATCCTACCATTGGTAAGAAGACAATGGGGATAGAATACAGGGCCAGTGCATTACAACCTTACAACCCCTCCCCCACCACTTCTGCCAGCCAGCCTGCCTCTGATTACTGTCAAATGGCTGGGGGAGGGGAGAAAGGGATGGTGAGCACTGTAAGCAGTGATGCCAAGCAACCTTTTTATCTGGGACTTCAGCACCAAATCAAACCCTGCAGTGCAATATACGCTTATTACCCTAGTATAATCTTTATACCTAATGTAAAGTCATAGCAATATAATTACGGTCAAAACCTTTTCGATCTTACCTGAATTGTTTTTTTTAAAAAATAACTCTGTTTTTAGTTTTGTTATTGAAATAAGCTTGGAAATTTCATGAGTATCTCCATACACATCCATTTGCATGAGGATCACAAGATTAATGTTATCTGCCATTAGGATAAAAAACGCTTTTAGAATTTAAAATGAAAACAATTTTTGGGGATATCCATTTTATTGTCAGTCATGTACAATTACTTACTTTACTACAGCAGTGTATGTACAACCTTTGTTTAGCTATCAAACGTTGAAGAATGTGATTTAGCCCAATCATCTTAACAGTAGTTGTCTGACTGGGACCTGATCATTCTCACGAGATGGTGGGGCACTATCTTATTCAGAGGTGACAGTCAGATATGACAGGTATTTGGTTGTAGCACTTATAGAAAAGCCCAATAAATCCTCTTATGTATGAGATAGCTGTTAAACTGCCACGTCAAGCATGAAATTCTCGAGTGTCAGGGAAGATTTTGCAAACCTTTGCTGAAATTCATTTCTAATCTTTTCTCAGTGTCATGATCTGCCTAATCATAAAACTTCTTTTAATTCTTTTAAATGAATAGCAATAGGATCTTCCATAATAATTATTAATGCAGTGAAGTAAAGAGGATATTGTCTGATTAGAAATAAAATTTTAAAGAATTTTTTTTCCGAGTAATGCTATAGAACAACCGAAGTTATTGAAGGGGGTAATGAATTATTACCAAAACTCATGAGATGCCAATGCAGAATTTCATTGTAGAGCAACAACTGATAAGTATCTAGTGCAGCTTCGAAGATTAAAATACCACTTTGTGCGGTGCTCTTTATAATAATTTGAATTGAAGTTCGTAATAAAGGAATACAAGAACCATTTACATTGTGATCGCCCACTCAAAGCAGGCATAAATACTTGTGAATTCCCACTGGAAATAATTAAATTTTTGAAGCTATGGGCAGAAGGGTTTGAGACAAACGGGGATCAAAACGTACTTTCACACACATCTTTATTACTGAACATTTTCATGCCAGGGGATAATATATGCAATGGTGGGGGTGGAGGAGATAGAAAAAGTGATGTAGGAAACACAAAAAACATCAAAAAAACATATATATTTAATACAAAATAAGATCCTGCCATGTATCACATGTTAATGTGTAAGAATCTTATTGGATTATTTCAAAATAAGCATCAAGATTGTTCCAAATGAAAAAGCCAGTTACTAACAAAAATTAAAAACAGAAGGGAAAGAAAATACTGGCAATCTTATTTCACAAAAGAAGTCTATGTTGCAAGTTGATTTCCTCAAATGCAGTGGAGGATAATTTTGACAACATAAATCCTTAGTAGGTTGGCATTTAGATATACAATTAACAGTAGAATAAAAATACAGAGTTGTACCTAGACCATTAGAAAATACAATCCAGTTTGCATGACTGTAACTGATGAATTCTAAATGTTGAATTACAAAGTAAATGCATTTCAAAGTGAAGAACAGCCCTCAATGTTATGATTCACATTGTTTTCCATACCAGGCATCTTCAATCATCTAGATAAAAAGAGGTTTGCCATGTAAATTGTATTCTGTTTCAACTGTTTTGACAGTCTTCAGTGAGAAAGCAAGGAAGTCATTGGAGTATTGGGGCAAATAGTGTAAAAAAATTGTAAGTTATAGCTTTGATTGGTTGCATCATCTTAGCAGCATTTAAATGACATATGCAATTAAAAAATTAACAAAATGATCTTGTTTTCATTGTATCACACAACTACACATTAGTACCAGAACTAAGGCCCAGGTTTTGGTCTTTGAAGCATACTAGGCGACAATGCACTGCACAATTATATTATCGACTCAAAGCTGTTGGCAAAGCCTAAACTGCTTCAATGGTTGGGTTGGAAAGTTTCAACAGGGACCAGTGGGTGCAATAAAGGGCTACACTGTTGCCATACAAGTGTTAAATAAATTAACATTTGTTCTTTCCAGCCCTGCCTGCAAGGATTGTTTTAAATTAAATGACTTGCCTTAACAGTTTTCCACCCTGTGGGAAGGTTTTGCACTGGGCGGGTGCCATTCTAGCAACTGGCAGAATAGCGTTGGCATTCTAACAACATTAAAGGATCCTAATTTGCAATAGCTTCATGAGGCTTCTGCTTGTTTCCAGCAGGAAAATTGATGCTTAAATTGAGACCAACATGAAAATCATTGCTCTCAGTAAGTAACTCTTTGCAATTTTTATCTCACCATTGCCCTGGGAGTCCAAAATCAGAGCCTAATTTTGCTAACCAACCCCATAGTATAAAGATTAGATAGGGTACTTTAATAAATAATTGATTATTTATAAAACTGTGGAAGTAAGTGCAGAACAAATGCATTCTTTAAATCCTGCTTCACTATAGGAAGGCTGATTCAACAGACCAAGCAATAGATGAACCTCCAGAGAATCACAGGTATATTCGTGTTAAGATTGGAACGCTTATCTGAAAAACTATTACTTGGTACACAACATGTTATGTTGTAAAATACCACTTCAAATGACTTCTAGAAAGGTTAAAGTTAAATAAAAGTTAGAGGTGTAATGAGCATGATTGAAGTGATGTAGATTTTCCCTTAAATAATTATGTTTCTTTTTCTAAAATTAAAAACATAATGTGACATTCACCTTCTGCAAAATATTTTACTCACCCTCTCTTTTTTTTCCAGCCTGCCCCATTAAGATGAAATGTGTCCTGGTTTCCAGCATTTTTTCTGCTAAATGCATGTCATATGTTTTATGAAAACAACCAGCCTACAGACCTCAAGATTCACAGATCTTGAAGATAGAGATCCAGCAGTGTAAGACTTCTTGCCAGAAATGTTTCAGTGCCAATAAACATAGAATCACTGGAGTGCACAAATTCATGCTTATTTTTAATACACATGATCACAGTCTTTTGAAGAACTAAAGGCAACAATTAACTTTAAATAAAGTATTTAAAAGTCACACACTGTACCTTCTTCTTTAAAGAAAAGAAGCTGATGCCACAACTTTATGCCTTATGCTTTATCATTTCTGAGGCAAATCAATTGTAGAAGGAGTAATATAAATGGAATCTTCACAGCTGGCTGCTGGGCCTTCTCACAACTTTGCTGAAGATGAATACATTGTGGGAATTTGAGAAAACAATTAATCATTAAATTGTGGGCACTGTGTTTCCTCAGTTGTATGTTATAGATTTATGCCCTGTGCTGTTTGGCATGCAGTGTTTTACACCAAGCATTGGGGTTCATTGAAAGTAAAGAATATAGGTTTATTTCAAAATGGATAATGCTAATTCCATATTTCACAGCCCTGCATGGCAAACAGTTGAAATGTACCAATAAAAGATTTGCAGAACCCATAATAAACCTGCACTAAAAAGGACAAGAGATGAAAGGTTATGCAGTTCATTAAAAAACATGTTAAATCTTTCATTCCTAGCTTTCCATGCATCAATCCATTTGGAATGGTTAAGACATGCAAAATCATGTTGCAAAAATCCCATCAAAAACAAATTACCACAAAGTTGTTGCTTATTAATTCCCAGTTTCCAATCTGACCATTTTCAAAATATATTTGAAAATAACATTAAAATGAAAGTGGTCTGATGTTTTTGTCAAATGGTGCTTTTGTACTTTTCTGGTGAAAACAGTTGAGAATACTGATAAAGAAAACTCAAATAACTGCAAATGTTGCAGATTCTTAAGTGACGTCTAAATGTCACGTTTGGTTTGCACTGACCTTTTAATTTTTATGTTGGTGTGATTGTCAGTAGAGTCAGATAACTTGCTGCCAATCTGGTGCCAAGGGATCTTATCCTGGTAAATTCCTAGGTTGAGATGGGCTGCAAATATTAATCTAATCTTTGCTGTTATATTCTTCTGGTTAAAAGTAAGAAATATTTATTAATCTGTTAGAGGGCAGAAAAATAAATATAACTATATACTGTCCTCCCAATCAACTAAAATTGAGTTCAGCCAAGGTGTCACTTGATGTTGCAGGAACCAGTACATAGATGAATAATATCAGATACAGATGTCCATGTCCAGAATTCAAAGAATTATAACTGTCCAAATGTAAGAAAATCCATGGTAAAAATAAAACAAAAAATCGAAATGTATAATATAACAAGTCCAAGGTAGAAACATTAAAAAACTGAAACATCAGCAGGAAATCTGGTATCAGCATACAGCAAAAGGCACCACAATATTATCCTTTTTATGATGTGAAAATCTGGCACACCATCATCTTTAACTGTAAATCATATTTTACATATAAATACATGTTTTCCTATAAAAGACTTTCCTGTTAGCTGTAAGACAACTTTGCTAAAATGAAAATAAAATGTTTAATTTAATTTTAGAATATTTGATAATTATATAAAATAAAATTTTTTACAGTTGCAGATCTATGGCATTTACACAGGGGTCGAGTCTTGATTTGATTTTACACGCGTCATTCGGGTGTGTAAGTCCTCTCGTACATTGTGCCTATTGGATGAGTAAGTCCTACTATCAGAAGACCGGAATACTGACGCTGTTTCTATGTTTGCTGCTGGAGGGTTCTGAGTGCTTAAGAAAGGTGTATGCTCTCCTGCTTTCTCACCATCAGAATCAGTGTCAGAGCAGCAACTTTCTGAGTTTGAGTCACAATCGCATTCAGATCTGTGTGAAATGTGACCATTTGGTTTTGTTTTTCTCCATCTTCTACTGCTGTTTGCCGCTTTCTTTGGTCTGTCTAATGCTGGGATGTACTCTTGTGTTGTTTCGTACTCATCATCCTCTGCCACTCTCATTGGACTAGGGGGTAGGCTTCCAAAGCTGTCATGAAGATAGCTGTGGCGTTGCTTGTAGGGGTCGTGTCTCTGGTTGTCTTGTTGGTACTTGTGGTATCTTCTCAACAAAGGCTGTTCATCTTCCACTGTATATCCAACTGCTGCTGGAGGCAATGATGTTGCATGGGTAGATCCATGGGGAGACATCTCAAAACCAGGCGCATATGAAGGGAGAGAGTAATGCAAATCAACAGGCGATAACCGAGCTGGTGTTGTGAGGGCAGACACATACCTGAAGAAAATCAACAGCATCATGACTTGATATAGTGCAAGATAGTTTAAATAAGTGCAAATAGATCCATTTTAAATCGTCAGTATGCAGGATATATTGCATTTCCATGACATTATCTTTTCAAATTTTCCCTCCATTGGTTATTCCTCCTGCCCTCATGCAGGTTTATGTGATGAATGTTTATTTGCAGATGCTGATTCTTGATTGGGAATCCATATATGATGGGATACGCAAATCTCAGAACATAATTTTTGAGGAGGCAGCCAATTAAGAGCCTCCGTCAGTCTCATCCAATTGAATGTAGAGGCGAGGTGAGTGAGTCTGCATTGACCAACCAGCACTTAGCTACAGTGGCAGCTGCACCCCCCCCACTCCCCCCAACACTTTGACAGCTACAGTCCCACTGTCAGAAATGGGAGCTTCCAATGTCAGACAGAGGGAGCACTTCAAGATTGAGGCACCTTTGGAGGATATCATGAAAATATAAAGAGGGACATCTTCCAGGCTATCATTATGAATAAGTGGGAACCCATCCACAGAACAGCTTGTGCCTACACCCATGGTCAGCACATCATCGTGACATAGAGGGGTGTGTTAGAAAATAACAGATGGAGTGCTAGCTCTCACACCGTCTGCCTAGAACTCTAGCTGGGATGTCACCTATATTCATCAACCATAAGGGTCCCCCACAGCTACCTTGGAAATTACAGTTGGTTTCTGCACATTGAGCTTGGTAGGGCCATTAAGGACTTACTTGACTACCCATCATCACATCACCTCACCTTCCCCCCTTCCCACCTCCAATGCCAGGCTGTTAAAAATTGGCCTCAAGACAGGAACATGTCAGTAAGCTAGAACACCAGCAGGAGGCAGGCAATTGCTAGCCCATCTACCTCTGGTCTCACACTGGTGGCCAGATAAAAATGTCTTCCATTGTTTCACTATTGCACTAGCCCTTTGTGTCTTCCGCTGGTGATAATTCTTGTCATGATCACAGTAACATATAGGCTATCAATTTTCAACTTTCATCATCCAATTTTAATACCTGGGTTGTTGGTTAGCAGACAGGAAATTAGAAAGTAAGAAAGAATGGATCTTTTTTGGAGCAGAAGTTGGTGACAGTGAAATGCCATAGTAATCAGTACTTGGAACCTAGTTATTCACAACGTATATCAACAATTTCAATGAGGGAATGGATTAATGCATTGGGATCAATCTGGAAATTATTACATTTGGGGTTCTGCTTGCTAACTTTCTACCTAACTTCCTAAATTATCATTTCAGGACCACATCTCTCTTCCTACCTAAGTCATTGGTATCAACATGGATCACAGCCTCTGGTTGCCCATCTTCCCCTAGAAGAATGTACTGTAGCTGCTCTGTGATATCCTGGACCTTGGCACCAGGGAGGCAACATATCATCTTGAAGTCTTGTTGATGGCCTCAGAAATGCCTGTCTGTTCCCCTAACTAATGAATCCCCTATTACTATTATGTTGAAGCGATATTAATATGTTTTGATTAAACAAGACTGAAACAACTCTACCACACCTGCATCTCCCATTTGATTTGCTCTTTAAGAGAAGTTCACATGTTGGAGATATAAAATATCACCTGTGATTACCCAAATTAAAAAGAAGCAACTCTGTATTGGAAAACACAAACCAGCTGTATTTCATGGGGCAGCTTTTGGCAGAAAAAGGTGAGATGGATTTGCAACTGGAAAAAAGCTTGATTTCTCTCAGCATCTTGAAAGACAAAACACCCAGTGATAATGCAAAATGAGGGGAACATTTGAACACTGAGAATTCAAAGATATGTGTAATATTCGCCACTACCATTGATCTAGGGCATCTCCAACCAACCATGGTCTCAGGTTCAGACTTAACCTCAACACCAGCTAAGCATTTTAAACTGAAAATTGTTTGGTTTTTTTTTGTATGGGACACTATCCACTATTAAAAACTTTGTACCTGTGTTTATATGTGTGTTTGCTCAGTCTTTATTTTTCTTGGGGTTAGCAAGCAATAAATAACCTCTTCCTTTCATTCAAGAAAACCTTGTAATTAGCTGCTTGTTGGTTCTTGTAAATGAGTTAACTATATTTTAACAGCAGTGAGTTACAGCTGCATAGTAAGAAGAATTTAAATGTCTTTGTTGTGATCAACTGAGGAGGTTGAAAGGAATAGAGCTGATTCACTCCTCCTGACTTGGTTATTAATGAATGTTAAAAGTGAACTTATTATTCAAGCCCAAACCTGTCCTTAACCAATTAACCACACATTAACACTTCCATTAGGGATTTTGCATAGAACTCAGGATTAGGAATTTTATTTGTGTTTAACATCCCAAGTATATACTGAGAGAAGTTGTCAATGCCACAATTGGTTGATAGCAGCCAAAGATTTGCATGGGCCAACGGCAGTCCATTCGCTCAGTGATCTACAGGACTCTCACACAAGGCTGTTTATAATGCCAACAAAAAATTCTCAGGTGGCAATGTAGCTTTAATGCTGTGTCTTTACTGAAGTTAATGTAGCTCCTTTACACTGAAGTGGTGTTCAGCCTCACTTGCGTGTTTCTTGTGGGTTTGTTGATCAATATATTTCATTGCCAGATTTTTAGTTATTACATTTTTCTTCAATAAATTCAAAGTGTAATAGTAGACTGACTTTTAAATTTAACTAAGGCAATATACATTCTGAAGTTTAAAAAACATGTATGAAAGAAACTGCGCAACTGGATTTCTGGAAAAAATAGTTTGAAGTATCTAAAAAATTATTTTAGAATACACAAATGCTTAGAAAATATACAGGGCTGTGATACCAGTAACTGAACAGTGTTATGCTTACCTCAAAACATCTCTGCTCACCCTATAAAATATCATGGGGCTCAGGGACGAACCTTGATGAGCATGTATTCATTTGTTTGGTGAATTGTTTGAACGGGTGTGGGGACATCCGGTGTCTACCCTGTTTGGGTGGAAGTTTCTGTCTGTCTGTCACTGAGACCATGAGCTAAATCATACATTTTCTTAGCTTAATTGCGAGGTATGCTGAATTTTTGGAGGGATTCTCGTTGTCAGGCCACATCAGATTTCTTACTGTATCTTAATAACTGCCACATTAACAGTCTTCTTCGCTCCATGGCACCCGTCACACCTGATTCTATCCCATCTTACCACATTCCATGCCTTAAATAACCCATCACTCTGGATATCTGCCAAATGTCCTCAACACCCTTATGCCCACAAATAAGCACTGTCAGCCTGTCAGTCCTCTGATACTTACTCTGGACATTGCAGAAGTTGGCACCATTGCAGGGAGGGGCCTGGAGGTCCTGCTGGATGTAGTGTTGCAGATTCAGGACTTCCTCTTCCCCAGGACCAGCAGTGCAGGCCTCAATGCCAGACCATGCAAGCTTGGCCTGAGGTTGCCACCAGGTGCCATCTGGAACAGTGCCCAGCGCTATAGGAAGAGGATCAATTTCCTTCTCCATTCCATCAGCACAAGTGCCACCATCTTCTTTCCAATACCTATCACTCAATCTATCTCTGCTAGTATAACCGTTTCCCACCGAGGCTCATGCTCGGTCACTCTCACTATCACCTGCGACACCTTGCCTCACTCGTTCTCACTCTTCCCCAACTCCTGACAGCACCAACCCCAAATCCCGTCTGCACCACCGAGTCACTCACTCAGGACACCTCCCCAACTACACCAAAAGCAACAGCTCTGCCACCCACTTCCACCTCCCTTATTATTTCCCTATCTCTAATTCCAGGAGTAAAACAGCCCGAGGGACAGATAGAAACAAGACAAGTGGTAGACTGACCGACATTTGGCTCCTCACCCCTTACTGGAGAGAATCCTAACTCTGACCACCCTGAGTCACTGACTGTCCATGTCTAAACCCTGGACTGATGCTGTAGGTGGAACATTGACCTACTGTGCCAGGATCTCCTGACTGAAGGCTATCTCCCTTGACTTAACTGAGGTCTGCTAACAACCATGTTAAGCTTTCTGGTTTTGTGTTGGTGCTAAATGGTGAGGCATGACATAAGTTACATATGCCTGGTATGTCTGGCTGAACTAGCAAAATGCAAAAAGGCACAGCAAGACAATGTCAGGGCTGGATGTTGTGAGCATCCAAGTAAGCCCCAAGTGAGTGAGCACAATGACAGAGAGCAAAGAGCCCAGAAATGCAGCCCAGTCCTGTCCATGAGCTGCGTGCACGTCCCAGAGTGCAAAGTGCCCTTACAACATCCTTATGTCAGGCATTACAGTTGCAGATCAAGGTACAACCCTGAAGTGCAGAAGAGTCCTGTAAGTGCATTGTCAATGTGCCATGACAATGTCAATATCTGTGAACATGGGGTGCATGTGGCCAGTGCCCATATTGAGCTGCCCTGAAATGTTGGCTCCCGATATACAATATGGCAGTACTCTGCAGCAAGTGGCGAGCTGCAATCACCCTAGTACCTGCTCTGATTTCCATGTTGAGAATTCTCACATCTAGCTTGTAAGATAGAAAGCTGAATATTAATGAAGCAAGTTACAGTGTTAATAAGGCTATAATCCCCCTTAACAAGCTATAATTCCCCAAGTTAGCAGCTCAGTGCTGTCTTCCTAGAATCTCACCACATAACTTGCGAAAAATATGAAGGATGCATTGGGATATGGTATCAGAAGACATTTGTACAACCTTTGCGGCCCAAGGTCATTTACCAAGTTAGATGTATCAGACTGATATGCTCTGCTATCATTGAGATAAGTAGGATTAGACAGAATGTATTTATGCTGATGATGTCCTGAGGCCCTCAGATATTTTTAGCCCAATTTATATGCATGGTCTGATGCACAGATCCAGGCCCAAAGAGCCATGCATATAAACTGAAGGCAGAAAATTAGGGTATTCTGATCTTGTGAAATGTGGCCAATCCATTGGACTTCCACCAGATATACAGCTGGAAAATGCCATTCAATTGTTTCAAAATAATTTGGAATGATTCAGTCCACAAATAAGAATATTTAGCACATAACATTGCATATAATCTGATTTATTTCATACCTGTCACTATGAGGTGAGTCTCTGAGAGAATCCACTGAGTCCCTGCAATGGAAGATTGGATGCCTTGTGTCATGGTGACTACAAACCGCACTTAATCTGCCTCGTGGTTCCAGGGGACTGTTACATTTACTGGTTTCTAATGATGATGTCATCATTCCAGAATGCATTTCTGAAGTTCCACTCTCAGTCCGATCTAGGCTCCATGTGTGGTCACCATTTCTATGGGAAACAGCCATATATTTATCAGACTTGTTGAACAGGCACTACTAATTGAGTATACAGGTAATGGGCACTAGGACAATAGAGAGTATCAAGTTTAAGATAAGCTTTTGTTTCAATAAAACTAACTTTTTGGCTTGTAGGATGACTACAATTAAAACTGTAATTTATGACCACTTGTTGCAAGTGTCAGGAAATGACCATCTCTAACAGGGTAGAACCTTACCATCACCCCTTGACAGTCAATTGCATAACCATTGCTGAATTCCCCCAGTACGAAACACACAGGATTCTGCAAGCCTTGACAGGGTGGATGCTAAGAAATGTTTAGTCTCAAACTATGGGTCACAGCTACAAAATAACGGGGGAGGCAATGGCTTAATGGTATTATCAGTGGATTGTTAATCCAGAGACCCAGGTAATGATCTGAGGACCTGTGTTTGAATCCTGCTATGACAGACAGTGGAACTTGAATTCAGTAAAAATCTGGAATTGGAGATCTAATGATGACCATGAATTCATTGTCGATTGTCAGGAAAAGCCCATCTAGTTCATTAATGTCCTTTAGGGAAGGATTCTGCCATCCTCACCTGGTCTGGCCCACATGTGACTCCAGACCCACAGCAATGTGGTTGACTCCCAACTGCCCTCTGGGCAATTATGGATGGACAACAAATGCTGGCCTAGCCAGCAATGCCCTCATCCCATGTATGAGTAAAACAAATGCCTATGAAGTGTAACTTTCATTTTATTATTTATTTATTTCAGTTGCGAATTTCATCTCATGGCACTGCTAGAAAATGAGTGGCAGCAGATCAGGTGTATATTATACACCTCACCCTACAAAGTCTTCAGTAAAATCAATTACAACAGTGCTATCGCCTAATGTTTTATATATTGATATGTGAAGAAGATGACAAATAAATACTAAAACTTTATAATCAATATTGCCAGAGCATTGGTCACGGATGTGCAACATCAAAATTGCCGCATCTTTTACACAATGCAGAAATGGGAAAAATGTCTTGGCAATGAAGTCTTAAACTGAGTCAGAACACTTGCTTGGTTTTATGCATGAACATTTACCCAGGATGGTAAGAGTTAATTGCAAAGAAAATTCACTGAATTTATATATCCTGGTCAGAGATCACAGACCTGAAATTTTAATCATTTTACGCTTCACAGATGTTGCTAGATCTGTTGAATATGTCCAGTATTTTGTGCTTTTATTTCAATTTCCAGTTCCCATATTATTTTGCTTATTTATTCAAGCTTTATTTATCATACATATATTTTAAATTCTGAGCTACAGCCAAGAAGAACTACATACCAAGCCCTGTTAATACATTTTTAGTGTCATAATTTTAAAATGAAAGTATCTATCAGTGTCAAATGGGCTATGAGCCAAAAGCTGGGAAACGGGATTAATGTAGTCAGATATTTGTTGACTGGCGTGGACATGATGGGCCAAGTGACCTTCTGTTCTGTAAAATTCTACGCATTTATGAAGAAAATGTGATTTCCTGCCTGGGCATTGTTGCATATATGCCATTCTCAAACTCTCCTATTTGTCTGTACTCTTTTACAATGATGGGCCTGACAAACCCTTAATGAATGATGTTTTTCAGCATATTTAATGAACTAACAAAATCACAAGAATTAATAACTTTCAAACATACAAGTTTGACAATATTGAAGAATGGCATTAACTAACAGCAATTATAATGCACCTGCATTCTACAGTTGTAAACAGCTAATGAGCCATTTAATTAGAATGATAGCTGAAGCATCTGTTAACTTATTGTAAAATACAACTTTTTAGACAATAGTGAAAGGCAAGTAGAAAATTTAACATGCGTTTTCAGAGATGCAGGATGGCCTCTAAATATGCAAACAAGACGGTAACAGTGTAGAATATCACTGGCATTCTTAAAGTGGCTTAAGGTCCAAAATAAGTTTCATGACTTAAATAGAAAAATAAAGATAAGATTATTGTAAATCAGTAGCGTGAAACCTGTACTTGTAATAAGATACACTGCTGGCATAAAGAAATAGGAAGAATCCCACTGCAAGTTTTAGAAATGGAAATCACAAGAATATACTAATTAAATTTCACAATCATTGGTATGAATGATAATAAAATATCTTACTAATTAAATCACCCATTTTAATTCCCACTCTTTATATAGGCAAAACTTCTACTTTATAGCGGGACAATGCATTCAATGGCTAATTGCCCTCATGGCTTTAAAATGCCTGCATTTGAGAAAGATAGATCTGTTGTGAAGGAATCTATATTTTTGGATTTTTCTCTGTGTTTTGGTGTGGACCCATTGTGGGCTAGCACCTGTGGAAGTGACCTCTGGTTGACTGGATGTTGGAACATATAAGGTACAGAATGTACCAAGAGTTGATCCATTAAACCCTGCCTACATGAGACAATAATAGGTTATAGGTCTGTTCAAGGGTAAGTGTGAACATCAGCCCACAGTGAGCAATGGTTACTTGGATTAGTCTGAAGTAGGGGTGGCAGCATATGGCTGCCAACGCTGTGCAGCTGAAATGCTGTGGTTAGCTCTCTGTAATTGGGGCTCAGAGAGGCCCCAAGCAGTAAAGAATTCTGGCTGCTGAGGGGATGGGGCCTCAGGGAGCCATTTGTAGCAGCTTGGAAGCTTGGATCATGCCACTGATTTGATGCTGGTGTACAGCTTTGTGAATCCACTGGGACATAGTCTTGAGTGACGAGATTAAGCAGCTGCTTCAGCAGTCACGGGGGCATTCTAAGTTTGAATCCTGTTGACTGACAACTGTGTTCAGGCCAATGAAGAGACAATAAGGCCTCCTGCAAGAGTAAGAGCTGCTGTTGAGGAAATTTGGAGGCCACATCCTCAAAAGACAGGAGCTGAAATTGCTCATCAAGAAGATGAACGCTAGAGAGTTCACTGACATTAGGGTGGCTAACTAAGGAGATTTGTTCTAGTTGTCTCTACCATTTAATGTACAAATGGATTTGCATTTTACCAGGTGCAAATGCACCTGTTAATTCATGTTTGCATCATGTTGTTTCCGGAGGTTAAGAGAGAAATGCTGAGCTTGCTTTATTGATGCATTTATAGCAAGATTTCTTCTGTTGTTTAGAATTGTAAAGTTATGTGACTCTATTCTCATCGTAAGTAAGTAGGCTTCCGAGTTTTGACTATTTTACAACAAAGTTATTGGTTCTTACTTGTATTGTAACTAAATTTGAGCATCTCTCTGCGACCAAAACAAAAATTGGTCATTTAATCTGACATTGTCACATAATTCATTCATGGAGAAGAATTTGGAAAGCATTAATTGTGGAGATTGAAGCTACATACAGAATTAGTGGAATATACTATGTGCACATTCCAATTATTTGTACTTTGTTTTCATGAAGATCAGTGGCATGTTAGAGTAACAAACACAACATGTTTACACTAATGTATCCAATAATTCTGAAACGATTCAATAGCTTTGTTAAAGTAGTAAATATTTTGTTTGCATTATCATCTTCATATGCAAGTGGCAGTACTTGTCATTAACAGTTAATTACCTATGGCTGGACGTGCGTGTAGCTGTGGAAGAGTGATGAGATGTCGATGATGGCTGGCTCGCAGAAAATGACGTTTCGGTTTCATGTCGTCTCACGTGTTCAGGACCTGGGATATTTTTTGAAACATACTGTACATGGAGAAAAAAATAAAAGAAACTTCAGACTCAAGTAATAAGGCTCACAGCCATCAAGATTTGAACATAATTCGTGTTTACAATTAATTGGTGAAGAAAACTACGATAAATATTCACATGGGAAATGATGAAAAGCAAATGATGGCAATTACTCAAAACTACACTTTAACAGGTTCAGACTGAGTTGATACGTTTCAAATTCCTTTTGGAGATTCTCTGGTGGTATTTCCTTGAAACTTAAAGTATTCCCAAGAAGGCTAATAATTTTTAAAGAAGAACGTCTAACCTGTTATGGAGATGGTAGGAACTGCAGATGCTGGAGAATCTGAGATAACAAGGTGTAGAGCTGGATGAACACAGCAGGATTTCTGAAGAAGGGTCTAGGCCTGAAACGTCAGCCTTCCTGCTCCTCTGATGCTGCTTGGCCTGCTGTGTTCATCCAGCTCTACACCTTGTTGTCTAACCTGTTATGGCTGGTTAAGAATTAAGAAATCAACTACACGAAGGTTTTTGGCATAGTGTTCAATTATAGGAATACACTTCAGAAGGAACATATTTTGACTAATCCACCATGACAGCTTACACGTAGTTCAAAACATTGTGGACATTTCACCACAAACCTGAATCCTTATATACTCTTCACAATTATCAGGCATACCTAAAGGGAATTCACAAAAATCTGGATGAGAAGGGAGATTTGAATCCACTTTGATGACACACGTAAGTCGAGTAATCTTGCCCTCTCCTTCATTGGCCATAACAATCAGACACTCCAAATTTCTGAAGAAGGGTCTTGATCCAAAACGTCAACTTTCCTGCTCCTCTGATGGCTTACTGTGTTCCTCCAGCTCCACACTGTGTTATCTCTGACTCCAGCATCTGCAGTTCTTGCTATCTCTACTCCAAATTATGTTGTGATCAAATACATTTGCACTTAGCTTTAAGGTGATTATAGCTATTGATCTGAGCTGCCTGATTTTCTATTGACTGTGCATTGCAGACCTTTATTTAACAGTTTAATAACTTCAATCTGACTAAAACACCCTAAAACAGTGATAATAACTATGTGACCATTCGGTTATTTTTGCACAAATCCTGGACGCTAATTTTTCATAAAGCTGAAATGCTCCGTTAGTCTCAAAAATAAATAAATGTTTTCAGCGCTCATTGACTTTGGTGGATCACTTAAGCTTTTTCTTAAATGCGACTTTGAACCTGCTACTGCTATACTACAGCATTGCTGAGATGGGTTTCTGGAAGCACGGGTGTAGGGTGGATCACAGAGCATTTTGCTTAAGTGGGTTGAGACCGATATCTTCATGCTTGGGCAATGCACATTCAAAATCGCTTTGCATCAACACAATATTACGACGCTAGCCTATTGATGGACTCAATAGATTGTTGTGGCTTCACTTATTCCATTTGTTGCCAGTACCTATTTGCAATAAACCATGTCCCAGTATGGTTCAGTACCAAATCTGCAATGTGTTTAGAAACTATGTTGCTGGGAGCAATCTGAGAAGTGTTTTAATTAAAAGCATCTTAACCAAAATAATTGTGAAGCAATTCATTGAATTATCACTAAATAATTCCTGGAAACAGTTGTCCTAGAAGTAGATAATTAAATAGAAGGACATACATCAACCATTTGAATATCTTCTGGGAGAGGACCAGGATGGTTGGGTCCATTGGCAAGGTTTCGGTTTTGATGGTCTACACAAAGATTTTGTCTCAGATGGCTGTGCATTTTCTTTCTTTGTTTTCTGAAGAATACAATAACTAGAGTAAGTTCAAGACAGTGTATTAAAGTAACCTCAAAAAGCCGTAACATAGCAGAGCTCGGAAATATAAATGTATCTATTGATTTGTATGCGATTTTTAGAAACAAAATCAAATTAACTTCAATTGCAACAAACCACAAACTACTTTAAGCTCATAAGAAACTTTACATTACAGCAACTGGAAGGTTTAAAACCTTACTTTGTTTTACAATATGCCACTACACACACAATTCCAACGACAAGAAGAGCAACACAAATGCCAGTAATGGTCAAGACTCTCTTTTGATACAGTTCCTCAGCTTCTGGAAACAGAAACACAGGTACAACATGGTTAAATATCTATTTCAAACGCAGACACAAGCATCACATAAGCTACTACAGACACAAGTTTCACATAAAATGCCTACAGCATTCCTAACAACAATTCTATCGACAATATATGCAAATACAATAATAGCTAGTGTACAAAATAGCAACAAACAGAAGTTAACTAATTAATACACAGAAAATAAAATTACTATTACCACCAACCCCACCAACATACTAAGGGCAGATTCATAAATAAACCTTTAAAACAAAGTCACACTTCATCTAGAAAGCTAAAAATTTAAAATAATGTGGTAAAATTAAAGTGACAGAATGTGGAGGTAAAGCTTCAAAGAGAGTTCAGGTTAAGTAGGAATTGCTAAACTGAAAGACATTTTCAATTTTGTTTAAACATTCTAATTTTGAAATTCATTTTGAGCTATTGGAAAAACAGTTGAAACATATTTTCTACAACCTAGTAATTACGGAGATTGAACATTGACAGTAAGCAGACTTAATTCAACGCTGTTTATATGTGTGCCAATCACAGTAATGAGAATGTAAAGAAATAAAAAGACAATGAAAAAATGGGAGACATGGAAGTGTTTTAGAAGAAATATTTGGTAACAGTTGGAAGTGGCACATGAAGAGTTGGGGGAAGTCAAAGACCTGGCAATAGCATGCTTGGAAGAAGAAAATGGGAACATTGAGGGAAGAAGCAGGCTGGGAAGGGATGCCCAAGACTAAAAAATGGTGGCCCGACAAGACATGGGAGTTGGAATATATTTTGTGATCAATAACTAGAATGTCAACAGCACTCATTTTGTTGTGGGTGCGAGAAATGAACAGGCCTATGTATTATTAATCTTTTCTTATCAACTGTTTTGAGCTTAATTTTAGGGAACTGCTGCGTTAACATTGCCATCATATTTATCATGTGCATGACTAAGGATGAAATAAAGTATACAATCCTGTCACAAAATCTGAAAATCAGTGGAAAATCTTATCCAGGATGAAAATAAACTTATTGAAAGTTTACTTTCAAAGAAAGTGAGTTGTGGTACAAGTTTATGAAATAGTTTTAAATTCCACTCAGTAAATAAACTTAATTTGCTTTAGCTTGAATGTTTTGTTGTTTTTCTTAGCTGGGTCCATCTCTAGCTTTTTTTTAGCCGTGTGCCATAAAAACTGTTTATATTAGCTGCAACTTCAGCAAAAACATTATGACCCGCAGCCTTGCTTGATTTACAGTTAAATCAACTTTATTATAAACCACGTTTGGAGTTCAAAGAATAGGTTTCCTAATCTAAATACCAGCTTCACTTATTGAAAAGCTAACAGATGACACAAGCTTACATACATCTGGAGCTAACATGAAATTTATAGGTCAAACATTTAAGCAGTGGTTTTATGCTGTCTATTTACAACAGTTATAAATCTGGCAAGAGTTCTCCTGGGCCAGCTGCAGCTCATCTCTAGTCAAAAAGAGTCCTGCTATTGAAAAGCTGTGCTTATCTGGAGCTCAATGTCATCATTAGATACTGGACTCCTTTATTTTGGTAATGGATAGATTAGTACAACTAGACAGCTGCAGTGAGATCATCCCTTCAAAGCAAAAGAAGTTGCTAGAAATCCAAGGCAGCTTTTTACATTTGCAGATTAAAATGAATGGTTTTCCATACCCATAAATTCAAATCCAAGATGCTCTGCCAATGCAGAAAGTTGACAAAAAAGAAAGAAAAAAGGAGAACAGTTTCAGAGAAAAATCTTTAAAACATACCAAAATTATACATGTTATGTGGTTAGCTCAAACTTTGGTATAGAAACATGGCAGATGTAACATTAGCATATAACATAGTGCTCAGGGAAGTGTTTCCATCTCGGACAATGGGCACTACCATTACAGGCAAACGTTTCACACATGCAAAACAAGACAGGAATGGGTGGAATGCAGTTGATTACAAACAAATATTGCCTTTTTTTCAAGTCTAAGGAAAAATATTATGAAAGTCATAGCAATTATTTAGGAGTAAAATGACTTATTATTTATGATTTTATCAAGTTTAGTTCAGAGGTGGCATTAACTGTGTTTTTGCATAGACTAATGTGTGTTAAAAGAGGGTTGAAAATCTTGCTACCAATTCAACTTAGGTATGTTTTAAATGTGTTTTTGATCTTATTCATGAGCAATAAGCCTCATTATTATAATATTGGGAATAAGTGTGTTATGGTATGAAAGACCAACAATAGCGGCAAAAAGAAATATTTTTTCATCCACAGAATATATCATTATCAGTGGACTTTTTATTGTTTCTTTTGTTGTCAATTTTCTCCCCTCCCTCTTTTCGTGAAAGCATTGCTATCTTAAGATACAATTCTGAAGATCTTGGTTGCCCTGCAGTACGCTAACCCAATGCCCACTATTTATGTTTGAGGCTTGACAGTAATTATAGGCAGGAAATAATATGAGCGGCACTGAACCTAATCCTGTCCTTATCTAATGTTCAGTCACTCAACAGCAGCAAAGATCAGCAGTCTGATCCAATTTCACTTTCTTTACCTCAATGAAAAGAGGTTCAATTGTGGCATCACATTCACTGATTGACTAAGGACAGTTGAATAAGCACAGACTGAAGAACATTCTTTACAACTTCCTGACCTCCATGATTCAGCTTCATGTCAATTAAATTCTCTGAGCTATCTCATTAGGGAATCTAAGGATGATTGCTCAAAGATAAATCATTATTTACAATGAAAGATTTTCTCTGAACTAGACTGTAAAATTATTAGCTGGTATATTATGAAGCTGAAACCACAAAAGTGGTTAAGAATGTTACAAGTCTTTAGAACAATAGCTTTATTGGTAATTTTTTTAAAAAACAAAAGTTGCATGTGTAAATTTCATAAAGTTTCCCCATTCATCAGCTTAACCTTGGCAGATGACGCAAAGAAATTTGGGAAGTTTCATTGTCTGTTCAGGAGAAACTTGATAGAAATTTACTTAATTTCAAATAAAATAATTTTAAACTCTATGAAATTACTGTACAAAATAATGGATATCAAAGTATGAATTGAACACTTTGAGCTTCAGGTAAAGTTGTTCTTGTAACACACCCTGCAGTGTCAATAATTTTATATATTGAATAACCTTAATACATCTGGATATCAGGATTATTCCACACCTAACATGATATCACTAGAGAATAACGGCTCACGGACAGGCATGCACAGTCGAAAGAAAATTGTACTATAAAGCAATCTTTGTAAAATTGAATGAGAGAAGCAGGGCTACAAAATTGAAATGTGAGAGGAATGCATAATGTTTTTGTAGAGTCCTTTTTTCTGAGTTTATGAAAGAAAATAAGTTTAACAATAAAATTATTGTATAGCAGCAACTGAATAATCCCTAAATCTGTATTGTTAATCACAGAATTCTTTTGGTGCAGAAAGAGGCCGCGGGACCCATCACGCCTGCATTGGCTTTTCACTTGACCATTACTACCTAGTGCCTATCTTCTGCTTTTCCCATTCCTTTGAACAAAGCCTTCTGAAAACCATGTTGTTCAATGCATGAAATACCAGCCATATACAGCTAATTGGGAAGCCAACTGTGGCTAATTATATGTCTGATCAGTAAATAAAACTGAGTAATAGACTGATGCCCAGATCTTCTGCTCTCCTGAGTTAGAACCTTCAGAATTCCTGATGTACTGACTTTGTGAGACTTGCCCAGGCAGTTTAAATTTCTGATGGGCAATTTCCCAGCTCCCTGGGATAGTGCAGGAATATTTCAGATTCTGAGTTAAAATAGGAGATTTGTGACTGATCTGACTTACTTACCTGGATAATTATGCAGGAAATGTTAGACAGGTTAAAACCTACTCTAACCCTCGTAGCCATACAACTGGCATCCCTCCCCACCCCCAACTCCTTACTGCCCAATTCTCTTCCCATGGATCACCCCTCCACACACACCTCTTGACCCTCTGACTCCTCTCCTAATGCTCTGATTTCCCCTGACCCTCTAACCTCCCACAAACCTTCATCACCCCAACTCCCTAACTGAACACAACCTGGTCCAACCTCACCTCCCAAATCTAACCCTCAACCAAACCTCCCCCAACCCTGGCAGCGCCCTGTTTCTCCCTCTCAACCTTTCACTATCCTTTGACTACCACCCAATCCAACCTGACCCAACCTCACCACTCTTTCCACTGCCTACTTATCTCACACACCCTACCATTTTACCCACTCATACACTCGTACACTCATAGACTAACACGCTAAGAAATTCTGGGACATTTAATCTTACCAGATTACTGCAGCTAACATTTAAAAACTAAAGGGCATGGCTTCTGCCCAGATTTTGTCCGCTCCTCCCGCTGAGAATTCCTGCTAACTGAGTTTGGAAGGATCCCATCAGAAGGTTGGCCGGAAAAATCAGGGTACAGTAAATAGATGGTTTTTGACAGTTCAGCATTGGATAAAAAGGTTCCAATGCTGACCGGAAGATTGAGCCATTTTTATTAGGTGTGCATTCCTCAATACTCGTATTCACACAGCAAGTATGTGTGTATTCCAACGTTTATTAACATTTGCTGGTAAAATGGTAAGAGAAAATACACTGTGTGTATTGGTTTTAATTAATCTCTGTCACTTCCTGGGTTAATTTTTTCTTAAAACCATGCATAACATGAGTGAAAACTCTGCTCAGCAGCACCATGGAAACACAAACAGTATTGCAGAGTGAGAAGTTAACATAATGTACAGCAGAGAATGGACTAGTCAGTACAAGAGGTCAGTCTGAGACCCATTCGGAATTTACTCTCAACAGAATGATGAACTGAGATCCAAGCAGGGGAGAGACAGACATTTGCCAAGTGATGATGGAAATGGTCTTGGGGATTGGTGATGAGTGAAGAGGAGCAGGAATGCTTTTCAGCTTCAGATAAAAAAAATTAAATCAGTTCTTGAAACATTGCTGATTAATCTATCT